ATAAAGTATCATAAAAGTATTCTTAAGTAACATCATCCTTAAGTAACAGGGCGTGGGGGGGGTGTTATGAGTCTTGCTTGGTCTCTCCTTTTGAATGTTTCATTTTGTAGATCTGATATTACTAATTTTAACCATTAGAGCATAGGAAATTTATAACAGATTTTCCTTTCATACTAAGTCACACTTGCTTTTTTTATTCATTCACTTTGCTGAGAAAAGGAAGATAAAAATGAGGTCAAATGAATGAATTATTGAATTTCTAAATTTAACTTCTATATCATCTTGTAATAAAGAACCCGTAGGTAGTAGTAGGATTTGTAAACACTTTGGTAATATTTTAGACTTATATACAAACATTAACAAGTATACTTAATTTCCTGTAATTCCACAGTGGAGCCTGAGCAGGGTTCATCAATATAGTAGTATATATTTGTTTGTATGTATGCTTCAAAGTGAAATCCTTAACAAATTTAACAGGATATTTCTCCTTGTGCTGCTGATAAAACACACCAACCAGACCTGTGTCCCAGGTGACTTTCAACTGAATTAATTTTAAATGGCATTAATAAGTTACTGTTTCAATACAGCCAGGTGGCAACTGGTTTCCAATAATGTCTCAGTTTTTACTAAAAGAAAAACCCCCAAAAAACAAAAAACAATGCAATTGCATTGTGGGATGTACTGAGTACTGTGGCATTCACAGTAATATTTTGTTTTATTTTCCTGTATTAGGAAGTTGTCACTACGAAAGATTCTACAATTACTTTAAATTGGGAATAAAGTGACATATTTCACCATACACTTATTTCAAGAGTTTATAACCTTTCATGATTTAGTCTCAGGTAAATAGAAAATTCAAATACTGTGTTGTACTTAAGAAGTAAGGGAGAAATTAAGGGATTTTATAAATCGAGTGGGAGATTTATTTATTTTAATAGTACTAGGATTTGAACTCATGGCCTTGTGCTTGCTAGGCCACAACCCCAGTCCTAAGTGAGAGATTTAAATTATCCATTGACTTCTTTATAGAGAGTAGACTTTAACAATTATAAAACAATATCAACTTAAAAATATTATTCTTGTAGCCAATAATGATTGTTTTACCACTTAAGTAATAACTAGAATTATTTTCTGTTTTTGTGGCTTAATTGAAAAATAAAGGTTCCATTAATTTTGTTCCAAAAGTTTTGAGTTTTTGGTCTTTTTTTTCTTGGGGGGGGGAGCTACTCTCCAAAAGCCATTTAAAATATATTTAAAAGAATCTGTTAATGTTTACTAGAGCTTAAGGAAAACTCCCCCTAGAAGGGAGATCATTGTGTATTTCTGCTTTTTAAAAACATTAGTTGTTTTTGGAGGGCAGAATGGTGCAGTGGCAACAAAAAAAAAACCTATAAGCTTTGTGGTAAGAATTTTGAAATTCCCTTTCAGATATTTTGAAACGCAGTGCTCTGTTATTAACTATATTCACCACAGTGTTTAATAGAACTAAAAAATAACATATTTCTCCTGAGATTTTGTATCATTTGACCATCACCCCCATTCCCCTACCCCTGAATCTCTATAACTACTATTATTTTCTCTCTCTCTGAATTTGATTGTTTTAGATTCCACACATAAGTAAGAACTTGTGGCATTTGTCTTTTTGACATTTCATTTAGCATGCTTTTTGAGGTGATAAGTGTGTTAACTAAATTGATTTAATTATTCCACATTGTATTTGTACATCCTAACATTATTTTGCACTCCATAAATGTGTATGCTTATAAACTGTCAATTTATAGTAAAATTAAAAGAAAAAGAAAAAATGAATGGAAAGGCAGAACACATGCTCTACATGTTCTGAACATCCTCAACATTTCAAACTTTTACAGAGAAATTTTCATGAACCAAACTTCTTTTCAAGGCATGGATCACTCCTTGTGCTGATGCACTTAGCAATTTACCCAGTGCAGATAGGACTGTTCTTTATAGTTCATTTGTAGTTTCTCTGCAGTTAAATTACTACAAACTACCAACTTAGCAGTTACTGGTAGTGGTACAGTATTTTTTTCCCTTAAGTCCTCAATAGAATTGAAAATTCTGCACACTAAAGAAAATTACACAAGAGGTTTAGGATGTTAGCTTCTAAAAATATGCACCTCTTCTAAGGTTCTATAAATACAACATACTTGTGAAACTAATTTTAAAAATCAGATAAAAAAGATTCATGTGAAGAATGTTTTGCATATGTATAGTTAAATAGTTCTTCCTATCATTCTGCATTATATTATCACAAAATTATTTAATCAAAGTACATTTTTGCAACATTGCCTCAGCAAATGAACTACTTTCACATTCTTGAAGTGACTTTTATTATTTATTTTTAAAAATACTTTTCTAAAAAACTGTACCTCAGAACAGCTGGGGTAAATTAATTATTGAGTAGAAAGAATGTATATCACTGTTCTTTCTTTAGATGTGATTTTCTCTAAGTGGACATTATATTTACCATAAAGATTTTTACTTTCTGAAAATTATTATTGTTGTTCTAATGTAAAATGTCCCTTTTTTACAGTTATCTTTGTATCCTGAGTCTACGCTGTTCCAGACACCGATTTACAGCAACTACAAAAATAAGTAAGACACATTTCTTGATACTTGTAAGTTTACAATACCACAGGAGAGAAAGACCAGCCACTATTATATGGTTTGAATAATTCTATGCTAGAGAAACATGTAGGGGCCTCAGTTCAGGTGCTGTGTGAAGGAGGGCTTATACAGGTCAGTTATTCAGTCTATGATCACTCGGTTATTGAAGGGTTTCCTTGAAAACTTGTTCCTTAATCAGAGCCTAGCAGAATACATAAAAGGCAACCAGATTAATAATGTAGGACCAAAGAGGAAACTATATGCAAAGTCACGGGGGGAGAGGGGAATATAGTGTATTTAGAAAACTAAAAAACCTTAGCATGGCTGAATATTTAAAGTGGTATATAAGGGTCACTGCTATGGTTAAAATTGTTCCCTCCACCAAGCATGTGTTGGAAACTCTAATGTAACAGTGTTGGGAGGTGTTTAAATCATGAGGGCTCCACCTTCATGAGTGGATGAATGTGATTTGTGAAAGTGCTTGAGACTTGTGGAGCTTGGTCTCTCTGTCTGGAGATGTCTTGGATGCGATGCCTTCTGCCATGTTGTGATGCAGCAGGAATGCCTCACAAAATGTGACCCCTGGATGTGCAGACTAGACAGCGCCCAGCCCCACACACTCTATATAGTTTTTTTAAATATATAGCCACAAACTTTGGAGCCAGAGACTGACTTTGCACTTAAGGAAGTGAGTATCTTCTGGCAAGGTATTCCATATTTCTCTGCCTTATTTTCTTCGTCTGGGAAACAATACGTACTTCTTGTGTTTAAACATTAAGTAAACAAATGTATTTTGAAGCATCTGTGTGGGCTGGTGGAGTGGCTCGAGTGGATGACCACCTGCCCAGCAAGTGTGAGGCCCTTAGTTCAAACCCCAGTACTGAAAAAAAATTAAAAAGGTACTACAAGTATCCCTGGTATAAATTGTGTGTCAGTAAACATATATGTCTTCCCCAAAAAGATATGGTCTGGTTCTCAACCTTCTCCAGTTATGTGTTATTTAGGGTAATAAGGAATTGGTAGGGAAGATTGTGTATTTAGCTCAAAGGCACCCTTTTATAAGTCTCTACTCTCAAATTATTTTTGCTGTTCCTTCTTTTAAATGTATATTTAGCAGACCAGATAGAGGCACAATGTATAAATTTTATGTTAAACTTTCTGTAGGATATGGAAGTCATTTTTAGAAATTGTTGGAATCCCTTATTAATGGCTGTTACAAAGAGCAAAAGGAGTGAATCTCTTTGAACCTTCAATATTTCAGGAGTTAGTAAGTACATGGATATAGATATATATTTAAACCAAATCATCCACATCTTAAGAGTCCAATCTCTACTGTTTATTTTTATTAAAACAGTGAAGTATCAGTTGTTCCAATGCTATGATGAATCAAGCAACATTGGGAACCAAATCCCAAAGCAGTGCACAGGTAGTTTCTTCAGCAGACATTCACAAGCCATCATCCTATAGTTCTGACAATTTTATACTCAACCTGCTTTTTCAGCAACCTTTGGGAAATATCCCTAAGATAATTTACTGGTCAATTGCATCTGTATTCTAAGAGACATTTGGATTATTTCCCGAGACACTCTATGAAGGAAACAATCAGAAAAAAATTAACAAAGAAATAAATAGGTTAAGGATGAAAGCAATCGAGGTGTTGGCAAAAGTTTGCCACACACCATAGTTTAATTAAAACATGTAATTCAGCTGGGTGTGGTGTTGCACGCCTGATATTTCAGCACAAAGTACAAAATATCATGAAAATCTTTTCAAATGGTAATTTACAGGGGGATTTCAGTATCCTGTTTTATATAGATGAAGCAAATTGTTACAATTAACTGCTACAGTTGCTCTGGCTATGCAATGGACCACTTTACTGTGGCTACATCAGAACGCCAAGGCAACTGTGCCTTAATGGAATAAAAGAGCCAGCACCTTTTGAGAGCTCCTGTACATTATTGTGATCCACAGATTTTACGATGTGGGGCAGATTTACTGTGGTTCTCAAGTCTTCTCTTCTCTCTCTTCTATGTATTCCAGAGTACCGTTTTGCACGTGAATTGCCATGCAATACAGCTGCAGCCCATGCTGAAGCCTACCTCAACCACCTCATCTGGTCTTCAGTCTTCAGATTTTCCCTCCAGCATCTGGAGTTCACTGGGAGCTCTTCCTCAGTCAGTGGTACAAAGGTACCCACCCACTGCCCCAACCAAATGCCATCAAGGCTGCCTCCAATCCCCACCGCAGCAGCATCCCTGTGAAGGACTTCACATGCGCTTTCCATCACAAAATCAGGAAAAGTAAAGGACGCCTGGAACTTCACACACTCCTAAGTCTCCTTGGTGATCCGTTCACTCCACCTCTGTGCATTTGGCCTCATGGTGAGTGTTTCACGGCTGGATACAGATTCATAAGCAAGTAGGAACAGGAACTTATTTTCCGGTTGGCTCCTCCTTCCTCTGGGAGCCATAGTTGCTCTGACAGGCTTGCAAGCTTTGTGCCGCTCCACGTTTGCAGCCTTCACTGAAGTAGATCGGGGTAGGGTGCTGGAGAGAAAAGAAGTCCTCGTGGGCGGCTTTGGGAACCTGCCATCAGTCCCCTACAGCTGCATGCAGGTAGCGCGCGACATGACGGTGGCCCCGCTCCTCAGCCAGGTCCACCGGTAGACGGCCCCAGGCGTCTCGCACATCCAGCCGCGCCCCAGCCCCATGCAGCGCCACCAGCGTGTCCAGGAAGCCCTCCCGGGCTGCATCGTGCACAGGCCGGGTGAGCGTGGCGGAATCAGCGCAGTTGGGCTCTGCGCCGTAGAGCAGTAGCAGCTCCGCCACACGAGCGCTGCCCATCATCATGACCTGGGGGAAAGAGGACAGTTGTCAAGGTGAGGGTTCCCACCCAGACTGGTAAGCCATTTTTATAGGACTACATGCCTATTTGTGAATAGCTAATGTAGCCAGCTCTGAGGTGCAAAGAAAAGGGTGTCCGGTTTCTCTACTGTTTGCTTATATGTTCCCCAACCCCCACAAGTTGTACTCTTTACTGAGTTCAAATTAAATTTCTATTTTATTCTCAAAACGTGTAGAGATAAGAAAGAGCCGACGGTAAAGTGACTACTTGTCACTGTAGGAAAAGTTTTAAAAATTTTCACTGGAACATGGAAATTTACTGTTAAAGGACTTATGGGAGTAGGTAAGTTTAAAGGGCTTTTAAAGTCTTAAATTGTTTTACATGTCGCTTTGCCTACCTCCCATTAATTCAGATCTAACAATATTTACTAGGTAGTTAACTGTAGTTTTTTGTTTTTAGAAGTTGGGGTAATTTTTTAGGGGAGAAAAATAAACAACTAAGGTTTTTTTTTTTCTTTTTTTAAGGTATACTTTGTTTAGTTCTCATAGTAAATTCCCTGCGGAAGGGTTTTGCTTTTTGATTGTCATATGTGTCTGTGCTCATAAACAGATTGTAGTCTGATAATTTGCATCAAAGTTAGAGATTAGAAAAAAAGTAAATCAAGTCACAGCCCACATTTTATCAATTATGTAAATAAATGATTTATTGTAAATAAGTGCTTCACCATTTTTAACATTTTATGTTAATATTACAGATATGGGATAAAATTTAATGTCATGTACTTAATGTAATATATAAAGTTAATATTACATTTACAGTCTATAGAATTTCATAATGTTCAATAATAACTTCTGCTATATAATAAGAACTGGGATATTAGCAGTCAAAACAAAACAATGCATAATTTAGAAGAAATGATGTCTTGGAAGCATAATCCCATAGCAGACATTTGTGTATGTACACTATGCAGGTATTTGCTTTCACATTTTAAGGTAATAGAATTGTACTGTAAAATTTTGGTACTTAACATCCAAAACAGAGTTATTTGTTCTTTTGTGGGTTTATGTACTTTGAAATGTGCCATGTAAGGCCATATACATGTAGTGTTTTTTGTTTGTTTCATGAATATTAGAAGCATTCATTTCCTCCCTTAAAAACTATGATAACCATAAATTGTCATTTCTGCTAGTGATGTAAAGGCTATTTTACCTATAGGAAAGAAGGTGGAAAAGTGCTTTAGTATCTCAGAAGATGGTGAATTAAGATAGAAACTGTTTTTATACTTATTTAAAAAGTACAAAAATCATGATCATAGATATTAACGGAATGTAAAAATCAATAGTAGTTAAAGCAGGATTAGTAGTTACACTGAATAAATATATCTTCACAATGAAGAGGCAATTTAGCAAAATCCTTTGCCATTCAAAAAACACCTAACAGTCGCTGTAGAAATGCTTTTGTAATCCAAATATTATCATCATTAAACAATCAAAAACTATAGAAAGCATATTTTCTCACATGCGCCATTCAAGAGACGCTGCTAACATAAAATAAAATAAATCAAGTACTGTGACTGGGGAATCCTGTTTTACTCCTTTGAATTCAACTCTCTTCTATTAGGAAAAATATAAAATTCATACTGTGACTTTAAAGTTCACGGTGAACTTTTTCTCACGTACTATGATTTTGTAATGTCCCTTAAATTCAGTCCAGATTGTGTAACTTGTAATTTACTTATCTTTATGGGGGAAAGTAGACAGACAAAACGGTCCTCCCCAATCGATCTTGCCTTTGCCCTTTTCCTCACCATTCCCAATTGAATAGCTTCCTTGCATCTCTGATTACGAGATGGCAGAACAAACAGTGGTATTTTTCCACCATTAAAAAGAAAACCGGGGACTAGGGATGTAGCTTGTTGCTAGAGGACTTGCCTAGGATGTACATGACGCTGAGTTCCATCCCCAGTACTTTGGGGTGGGGGGAGGAGAGGACGGAAGAGAGCAAGAGAGGAGAAAAGAGAGAGGAACTAGAGAGAAAGAAGAGAGAGGTGGGGGAGAAACAGACAAAGGGAGAGAGGGAGGGAGGGAAAGATGGAGGGGGAGGAGGGGAAAGAGAGAGGAGAAACATGAACCAAGCTGAAGACGTGGGTGTTTTAATCCTTTCTTAAGTATTTTTGCTGGGTAAAAACCAGGGGCTCCAAATTTCCAGCTACAGAGACTGCAGCCCGGGGCTACGTCGGAGCAAAACTTGGTCGATCCCAGCCCCGCGAGCTGCGCACTCGCGCGCCCCCTGCCGGCCAGGCCCCGGGGCCCCAGCTACCTGGATCGGGCGCCTCCCGAAGCGGTTGACTCCGTTGGGATCTGCTCCGGCTTCCAGGAGCTGTCGCACCTTCTCCACCTGCCCCCGCGCCGCGGCGTTGGCCAGACCCGCATCACTGGCGCCACCGCCGAGCATGCCCTTGTCGTCCTCTCGCATTCCACAGCCTCCAGGCACAGAACGGCCAGGATAATCCGCCGCCAGCGACAGTCCACCGTCCTTCCCCACAGCGCCCGGGCGCACCCTCTCTTCCCTAGAAGAGCCCAGCACAGCAGCTTCAGTCTCCTGTCGCCGTCCGTCCGTCTGCTCCTGGGGCACTCCCCGTGCCGTGACCGAGTGGGACGTGCTTAGCTCCGGGCTTCTCCAAGCGTCAGGAACCAACGGCCGCGGGCGTTTCGCTCCGTGAACCAGCGCCTCGCGCGGCCAAGCCTCGCCCCAGCCGTGCGCGGAATGAGCTTGGTTCCCAGCTGGGCGACGGGGCCGCTCGCCCCACCTCCTTAGGCTCCGCCCTCTCCCATCCCACTGGGGCTCCCAGGGAGGCGGGGCCTGCAGCAAAGGACGTCACCCGGACGGGGGTGGGGGTGGAGTTTGGGGCGGGGAGGAGCTCGCCAGGAGGTCCGGGACGCATGCGCCAGACTTCGGACCAGCCAGCCGCCTGGAACGAGTCTGCTGTGCTGCTGCTAGTGTCCCGGAAAGCCAAGACTAAGTTTTTCAAAATGTTGACCCACTACACCCAGCAGGCGGAGCTGAGGACTTGTATTTACTTAGCCCTAGACATCTGGAGAGGTTAATAGATCCCTTACAATCAAGTGCTGAGAGAAAGTCTTGGGTGAGGGGGTGGGAAGAATCCCACTTTCTTAAGGTGTTTGAAAGTGACATCTCTGCATCTGTCATGCAGGATAAACTCATCCCCAGGCAGTACTGGAACTTCATAAGTTTCACATTGTGCATCAACCTTAACAGTTTTATTTTGGGTGTGTCTTCGTGTTTGAATTACTCAACCAGAAAAAAAAATAGTGAAAAACCCCTAGAATCCTGTTTAGCATGTGCATCTCATTTAAAAATGCTTTCTATCTTTGGACTATTGATGCGATTCTAAAATAAATGGATAAATACATTGTTAGAAAAGATGTTAATAGCGACGACTCTACTCATGTAACACTCAAAAAATATACTTTAAGAATCTGAGAGGGAGAGGGCAGGGTGCAGGGGGGAGAAATGCCCAAACAATGTATGCACATATGAATAAATGAATAAAAAAAATCTGAGATCACTGTGGTGTTACTGTAGTTCTAGCTACTTGGGAGGCTGAGACAAGAAGGTTTCTTTAGTCCAAAAGTTCAAGGCTAATATGGGCAACATAGCAAGACGTCTTCTCAAAAAACAAAACTAAATCCTCCTGAAACAAGCCAAAAAAGTCTAAGATTCCAGCTTCATGATATTTGTACAGTATATCTTTGTTTGCCCTCTTACCTATTTAAACCCACCTCAGCAGTATTTGACTTTTGTTTATCATAAGTAATAAAGAACATTTACGCAGTAATAATGAAACATAATAAAACATGGGTGTGGTGCTGGGCCTGCCATTAAACAGGCTGAACCTGTCATTAAATCCTCTTCTGAAGATTTAAAGATCAAGTGCCTCTTTTCCTCCAAATCTTCCTAGGCAAGTTGAATCAATGTATTATACAATTGCATGTATTTATTAAAGATTTAAAACACTGCAACTGATGCTATATTGAGTAAGGAAGAGAACCACAAGTTATGCATCTACTGCCTAAAAATTCTGGTGAGGAACTCTTTGAGAGTTGACCTTTCTTAACATTAAATAGTTCTTAATTACAAGTTAAAGTCAGAGTGCTGAGGAAGCCAAATCATAAAGGAAGACCAGTTGTTCTTATTTAGAAAATGAGATTTTGGAACATGTTTCTTCCAGCATACTTTAAAGACTCCACTTGTAGAATAAAAAAAGCTCTTTCTATTAAAGGTAGTAGGGCATGGAAGTGATGGTTAGGGATGAAGCTATGTTGACTGAGTCTCAACAAGGCTGAGATCCACCTGGACGTGAAAGGGAAGGAGGTAGTGTTAATTACAATTTTTCTTTTTCCCCATCTCATCACATTTAAAAAATTCAGTTTCTTAATTCCTCTACCTTTTATTCTTATTTGAACTTCCACATTTATCTGGAGAAATATCTTTTTATTTGTTGATGGCCACTCCATTCTTAGGCTTGGACAGAGAAATAAAAGTATGTTTCTGGATGAAAAACACAGAAAAACTCTTTGTCTCCTCTTGGGAAGCAGTGCCCATGGAGAGAAAGGAAGGAGGAAGAAAGATGAATATAGCGAAGTCAGATCCTTGGAAATGAATGCCAATGGTATTTTGCTTGTAAGTAGCCTGAAGGACTGAAGCACCAGACTGATTGATGTAAATGGATGTGGTGACAAATGGACTCAGTCCAGGATATTTTCATCAGAAAAACCTAGCAACTCTGAAATTTAGTGCACAGTCAAATGTAACGCAGAAGACTGCCTTTTAAGAAATGTTAGTAAAAAAACTAAAGTCCCCAAAAATCAATGACCCAATAAAGAAATGGGCAAATGAACTGAATGGAGCCTTTTCAAAGAAGTCCAAATGGCTAAAAAACATATGAAAAAAATGCTCACCATCTCTGGTAATAATGGAACTGCAAATCAAAATCACACTGATTCTACCTCACTCCTGTTAGAATACCTACAATCAAGAACACCAACAAGAACAAATGTTGGCAAGGATTTGGGGAAAAAGGAACCCTCATACACTGCTGATGGGAACATAAGCTAGTACAACCACTATGGAAAACATTATGGAGGCTTCTTAAAAACTAAAAATAGATCTGCCATATGATCCAGCAATCCCACTCCTAGGCATATACCCGAAGGTTATGATAAAGATACCTGCACACCTATGTTTATTGCAGCACAATAGCTAAGCTATGGAGACAGCCAAGATGCCCCACACTGCTGATGAATGGATTAAGAAAATGTGGTATTTATACACAATGGAATTTTACTCAGCCACAAAGAAGAATGAAGTATTCTCATTTACAGGAAAATGGATGGAACTGGAGAGCATCATCTTAAGTGAAGTTAGTCAGGCTCAGAAGGTCAAATGCCACACGTTCTCCCTCATATGTGGATTATAAACCTAAAACAAATGCAGCAATATTATGGGATGCAGGTCACTGTAAGGGATGGGATAGGGCAAGGGAAGGAAACTAAAAATCTGAATGTGGTTGATGTGCTTACTGTACAGGAACGAATACAGAAATCTAAAACTGGCCAGGGTCACCATGGGAAGGGGACTAGGGAGGAGTGAAGAGGACTGGAAGAGACAAACCAGTTGGGGTTGTAATACATATATGCATGGAAACAACAAAGGAAGCTCCCTGTGTAGCTATCTTTATCTCAAACTAGCAAAAACATCATATTTCTCTTTTATGTTTTTTCTTCAACAAAATCGGAGAACAGGAGGGTGAAATAGGTTCTGCCAGGGGATGGGGGTTGGCACTGGTGGGAGGGGGAGATGGCAGGGAAAGGGTGTAGGAGGTGAACGTGGAGCAAATACTGTGTACACATGTATGTAAATGCAAAAATGATACCTGTTGAAACAGTTCCAGGAGTCGGGGGAGGGAAGATGAAAGAGACTGGTAGAGGGGGGGTAAATTCAAATGTGATATATTTGATACATTGTAAGAACCTTTGTAAATGCCACAATGTACCCCCACCCAGCCCAGAAATAAAGGAAAAAAAAAGTCCAGAAAAAAAGAAGTGTTGTTAGGACCTCTTTCTGATAGAAACAATCTAATTAAATCTAGTTCAAAAACTCAAACATATCCTATATTCTATGAGTTCACAGTTGAGTAAGTTGTGAAAGTCTCCATACTGGCACTCCAAACTGATAGAGAATTTCAATTTAATACAATAACTTTACCAAGATATATCCACATGGTATTTTGGGATTAAGGAAGAGGGGAATTTAACTCAGGGTGAAGGTGCAGGGACTGTTTTAGAAGAGGGCCAACTGAAGAGAGTCTTAGATCATTTAAAGATGCATCAGAAAAGACCTGCTTTCTATGATCCCACTTTGAAAAGATAGTCTGTATCAATTTGTGAGCCACCTTCCTGAGCAGTAGGAGCGGCAGTGTGCCTGAAAAAAAAATGGAGTGGTTAAGGAAGTGGAAAAGAATTGTTTTTCTTTGAGGGGGACATAGAGGAACAAAAGCATGCTAAGATAGGAAAAAGGCCAATGAGCAGAATGAAAATTTTGCATGAGGAGATAGGTGAGCTTTGCGAAGCAAGTTGACTGAATAAAATTTGGAGTAGGGGAAATGTTGCTGGGCATTGGTGGTTAACTAGCACCACGGACAGCGCCCGGCTGTCCTGAATGTCTGGGTGGTCCTAACTCACTCCAAACTGAGAATTCTAGAAGCATCAAACTTGGTCTTCCAGTGCATTTTTCTACCTTGAAACCAAGAGGAACCTTAATGGACTTTTTTTCTCCAGAACAACTTGCTCAACCTAGCTTTCCAAATATTATTGGGTTATCTAATATTCTCTTTATAAAGAATAGTAAATATTCTCTGTAGTTAAAGAAGAGAGGAAAAAACCCCACACTTTTTAGGTATCTTGTTAAGTGCCTTCAAGTATTGTTTCATTTATCCCTCATAAAACTAATATGCAGCATGCATTAGTATCTAATTTTACATACAAGACAAAATGATTAGAGAAATTTATTGTTTACCAATGATAAATGAATCATCGTTTGAGTTAGGGAGGGGTCTAACCTGGGTGGCTTCAGAACCTCTATCTTCTATACTAAATAGTATGTAGAAGCAGTTGTGGTAAGCTTAACTGGAAAAAGGCAACAAAATGGCTTATAATTGTTTTTTACACTGTGTTTTCCAGATGGCTCACCTCACAGCACACCCTTAATAGACTTCAAAGATGACATTTCACATATAATACAGTAGCACATTTGTCTTGGGCAATAGAGTAAGATAATGAAACAATTTATTTCTCTGTGAAGCCCAGCTGTCTCTAGGATGAAGCAGTCATTAATGCTTTAAATATATTTAAGAGACAAAGTGGATGGGAACATAGTTGAAACATGAAATTGTCACAGGTATATATTT